GCGCCCCGTCCCCGCGCCCCGGGGGCCGCGCAGCTACCATTGGACAGGCTGCCCCTACATCCGCCTCCTCCGCGGGCGGGTTTTTTTAAAGGGGAGGCTGACCAGAGCGTGCGGTGGGAGCCGCCCCCGGGCTTGCCCAAGTTGCCTGGGCCGGGCCTGGTTTGCAGGGCGCACCTGGTGGGGAGGCAGCAGCGGGGAGCCCGCGGAGCTCCTGAGGGGCCGCTCTGGGCAGCTTGCTCCTGTGTGAATACGTGTGCCTGCACGCGCCTGTGTGCGCCTGCAGGAGCAGGGCGGGTGTGCAGCCCGTGAGGGGCGGCGAGTGTGTACCTCTGCCTGCACGCCTCTGGAGCTGGTGAGGCTGGCCCTGCGTGGCACACACCTGCCACAGCCCACCAAGCCCAGCCCTGTGTGCCTGTTTGCAGAGGCTTCTGGAAAGGCGCCCCCAGCAGGCGCTGCTCAGCTCACCCCAGCTCTGGCCAACTCTCCCACTTTGCTGGGATTGTTCGGGATGGTATGGAGGGCAGGCTCACAGGGCACTGGGCAGGCAATCCTCCCTCCAGGGAGGCCGGTTGTTTCCCTCCCCCAGAAACACATGTCTGGGGCCACCTCCCAGCATCTGCCAGCCAGGTTACACAGGGACGACCCTGCAGATGCTGTGGGAGCCCTGAAAGCTGGGGTGGGGACAGAGCAGGGAAAGCAGCAAGAAAGGGGACTCCTGTGCAGATGGTCAGTGGCCGGAGGGAGTGGGGCTCCTGGCTCTCGGCCTGGCATGGGGACCTGGCCCACCTGTATCTTTCCCAGTCCTGGGCTCAAGGCTTCTCCACCGCCCAGTCCCATGGTAGGCCAGTACTGCATCTTCAGACAGTTCAGTGGGTAGAGGGTGCCAACTCCAGCCTGGCTCCGCCCCACCTTCTCAAGCCTCTGGGGACAGAGCATGAAGCAGCTCAGCTTAGGAAAGACCCTAGGCAAGGCTTCTGGCTCCTGGGAGCTGTCATCTTGAAATGGCTCAAAATCTACAGTGGGTGTGTGTGGGGTCCCGCCAGCAGAGGGGTCCTGGGGGCTGAGCTCCAGCTCCTGTTAACTGGGGAGCCACCCTCGCCCCCAGGGGCTGCATGTGCAGTCTCCACGAGCTAGAGGCAATGTGTGCGGGAGCTGCATGTGTGTGCAGTGGAGGGTGAGGAGGCCCCATGTGCCATCAGAAACACACGGCAGGCAGTGTGGGCAGGCAGGAGTGGGCTGGCTGTGGTCAGAGACCCTCCACCAACATATCCAATCTGATTTTTTGGTTGGAACTTTTATGACCTTAAAATTCTGCTTCCTGGGATTCTGAGGCGCCTTCAGGGCGCCTGCTGCAGCCGTGGAGCAGTGGTCATTAACAATACGAAATGCCCAGGGGTGTTTACTGAAACCTACACCCCACACCCCAGGGCAAAGGCCCCAGTCTAACTGCACGGAAGCACCCAGTGAGGCAGGGTTAGTTACCCTTACCCTGTTTGTTCCCAAGAAAGGAAGGGAGACAGAGTTAAAGAGCTCACCCAAGGCCACAGCTGGGAGAGCTAGGACTGGCCTGACAGCCCTTGGTCCAGACCTCCAAATGGCCTCCTGAAGCTACTGAGCTTCAAGTCAGTCACCCTGGCGGCCACTCTGCGGCCACTCTTCCGGCCTGCAGAGCAGAGCGGGCAGGGTCTCTAACAGCAAGAGGTGCTGAGCCTCCAGGGAGGCTCCCCTGCCCGCAGCAGATCCCAGGCGGGTCTCTGGCTTTCCTGGCGGTCATTGCCCTGGGTGTTCAGAAACTCAGGCGAGGAGGATTGTGTGTTTGCTGGGGGCACCCCAGTGGGAGGGCTCCCCCTCCAGGGCTCCTGGGTGGGACCAGAGGGCAGAGCCAGGGCCACACTGCGCGGCTGGCCTTTGCCTTGCTCTTCTGCCCAGGTCCAGGGGCTGCGGGGCACCTGAGAGCCCCAGCTGGGTCACAGGCAGACCTGGAGCTCTCTCCACGGGTCTGCTCAGAGGCTGCCACCCTCAGCTCAGGGTGGTCAGAGCTTCAGTCCCGTCTACAGAAGGGAGCGTGAGGCTCGGGTGGGTCACCCAGGCCCTCTTGCTCTGGAACCAGTCCAGGAGCCCACACTGGGCAGGCCTTCAGCTTCTCCCACTGCCTGGGGGAGTGGGGGAGGCGGTGGGTCACAGAGACCTTCCCACTGGCTGGTAGGGAGAGGGAGGCCACTTTCTGATGAGTCCCACTGAGAGACAGATTAGGAAGAGAGTGAGTGGTGGATGCAGAGCCCACCCCAGCCTGACTACCACTCTACTCAGCTTCCTCATCTGAGCAAGTGCAGTGAGACTGGGGTCACTTGGGGAGGGGCCACGGGCTAGTCCCTGCGGGGCTGCTGGAGAACCCTAGCTGTCTACCCCACCGGGGCCCCAGTAGGCTCAATGCTCATACCCCTCACCTTCATAAACAAACACCCAGGGACACAGCCTACCCGCAGACCGGCAATAAACAGAGCCCAGGGCAGCGCCCGACAGCCCGACCAGGTCTGCAAGGCGATGCTAGGACGGGGCTTCCAGCCCTGCCTCGGAAGCCACCGGCTTCGGCCCCTGCCGTTCCTGGCCTCAATTTTTTCCATCTGTAAAATGGCAGAGAAGAGAAGGGACGGCGGGGTGATCCATAGCAGAGAAGCTTCCCAGGTGGCGTTTCTACCTCTCTGCCTGGGAAGCCAAGCCTCCTGCGGCGGGGGCAAGACCCCCAGACCCC